GAGGAAGGTCGACCGGATCGACGTTCTCTACCCCCCTTTCTTCGTTTTAATTTCGATTTTTTTTTCCTTTCCCCCTTCTTTTTTTCGCGAAAATAATTTGGCGAAATTTTTCGTCCTCTGAAAAATAGAAAGGAATATAGAAAATAATTGTGTCATTCTTTTTTCCCCTTTTGTCAGAGACGAAAAATTATTAAAGTTGTTTGATTGATGGATTTCGTTAAAAGATTAAAATTAGTTTGAAATTTTAATCGATTCCATTACTCAAAACTGGTCTTGCTGGTCGATATTCGTATTGTAATTATTATCTGTATAAATCATTGCGGCCTGATCATAAGAGAGTTATGCAAACAGGAAACGGTGAAACGGTGTAACAACTAGTTACGCTTAATCCTATATTTCTGTATAAACATTATCCCATTATCTGAAATTATAAATGATGTGTTGTAAATTGAATACCCTCGAAACTTTTAAAATCAAAAATTCCTACTCTTTCGCTCTTTTTCTTTCTAATTGAATCAAATTTTGAAAACATCACAATTCAAAATTTATCGTTAATTCGTAAAAATTCGATGTTCCTTCGAATTCAAGAATAAAAAAAAATATTCGAATAATAACATTCGTCCTTCCACTTTTAAAAATTCTCATCTTACGAAACGAATGAAAAAAAAAAAAAGGCAAACGTATAACAGAAATTTTCGATCTCCACGTAAATTTTTTTCCAACCAAGAGATAAGACGATAAAATATCCCGTAAACAAGCGTGGCTAATTATCCAGGCTCGATTTCAATTATCTCCGCGATATCGCTCAGGTTGCAAGAGATTAAAAGGAACGGCGTTCGTTTTTTTTATAAGCCGTGAATAACTGTACAAGTGTTTAAACACTTACATCGCACGTCACACAGCGTTAATTATGTCGACAATTAAGCCCCACCCCCTCCTTCCTTGGCTATAAAATTATGTTTCCCATATCCTTCTATTTCATGACCCGTATACCCTTACCAGACAGTAGTCGTCTGTTTAATCATAATTTAAAGTCGTGACAAGAGATATGAATTATCAATTAAAATACAGATCAGTCGTGGATAGCGAAATTTGTCTCGTTTCTTCAAACAAGAATATTTAACGTTTTGCAATCAAATTGATCGTACAATTAAAAAAAAAAAAAAGATAAAATAATGATACATTACACGAAGAAATTCGAATAAAAATTTTAAAGACACGTAACTTTTGAACCGATGAATTTCTAAAAACTTAAAACCGGTATTCCGGTTTCTCTACTCTTCGAATGAGTAATGATAATTCAAAATTTAAGTTGATAAAAAAAATTCACCAATTATAATGAACTTGATCCTCTCAATGTCTAAAATAAAGTAATAATAATAATAAAAAGAAATTTATTAAAATCACCTAAAATAAGATCTTATCTTATTCAATCTTTCGAATTCCAAAATCTTTCCACGAGTAATAAAATTATCCCTATTCTAAGAATTCACAGAACGATTTGAGAATCAAGAATCTCAAGGAATATCTAAAATCTATCCCGTGTCGAATGTCAAAAATGTACGAAAAAAAAATCTGCAAAAAAAAAAAAAAAAAAAAAATGATAATTATAATCAATTTTT